CATTTCGAAGTTCCCTGACTCATCACAGATTCTCTTTCTCCCCTGGCTGTGTTGGGATCCCTTCTAAATATTTCTTTTCATTCTACATCCATGTATTTAGTGGTCAGTGTAACTGTGGCCCATGTGGGTTCTCTGTGGTGGAGAAACAAGGATCAGTTTCTTCCAGAGAAGGAAGAGAGTCGCCTCCTCCACATGGCTCTTGGACCCACAGAGTCCAGTGTTGGCAGGGGCAGCATTGTTATCACTGACTTGCTCCCAGTGTCCCTGAGCCTCCTCAGGCACCATCCTAGTCTCACAGTGTCAGACCTCTACCATCAGACTGACCACATTGAGGTCGGGGAGAACTTGGGAGTCCCCTGTGACATCTGAAATGAATCCTGCATTTGCTGAGCCTGATTTCCAGAGCCTCAGCCTGCTGGGAGGTTGTTTCACTTCGTGACTGGTGCCTCTGCCAAAGGGAGAGCTAGCTGACCTTCCAGTTCTGTTCTAAAGCCTCAGCATTAATTGATCAGCCATCACTCCTTGTAACCTTTGTTTAATGTACAATAGTCCTTTTTATTAGGGTGGGTCTTTTATGAAGATAGTGTTCATGAAGAATTTCTGGGAGCTACCCTCCAATTCCTACCCTGGAATCTCTTGCCCAAAACATGATTTTTTTTTTTTTATAATAGGGTCTTTATGGTAGTTCAGACTGGCCTTGAAGCCACAGTAATCCTCCTGCCTCAGCTGCCTCAGTGCTGGGCTCCATGTGTGGTAGTCCTAAGCCTCAGTACAGGTACTGTGATCTTGTTTGGAAACAGGCTCATTCCAGATGTAGATGAGTTAAGATGAGGTCATACTGGAGTCGGGTAGATGCTTAATCCAAAACTTATAGTTCTTATAAAGGGCAGAAATTTCCACACAAAGACAGAGAAGAGAAATAACATGTGAAGAAGACAGAAGGAGGAGAAGGAAGAGGAGAAGTAGATGAAGGAGGAGAAGAAGGAGGAGAGGGAGGAGAAATAGGAGAAGGAGAAGAAGGAGAAGGAGAAGGAGGAGAAGGAGAAGGAGGAGAAGAGGATGACAGTGACAACATCATCAGGGATTGGGGTTATGCACTTATAAGCAAAGGAATGCCAACAGTTTCTACTAAGCTAGCAGGGGTGAGGGGTGGTGATGGGTTCTCAGAAGCAGCCAAAACTGCTAGTACTTTTATCTTTGATTTTCCAGTCTCCAAAACCCTGGGCAAATGCATGGTTGTGCTTTTTTAAAAAAAAATTTGGGGCCAGGGAAATAGCTCAGTAGAATAAGCACTTGCCTGGCAAGCACAAGGGCCTGAGTTCAATCCCCTGAGTTCTTAAAAAGAAAAACTATTAAATAATAATAATAATAATAAAGTAAAATAAATAAAAAAACAAATTTTATTATTATTATTATTTGTATTTGGTATAGGGTCTACAGGGTCTTACTACGTAGATTGGACTTATAGTGATTCTCCTGTTTTCAGCCTCCCAAGCACTGGAATTACAGATGCACACCACCATATTCAGTCTCAGTCATATCTCAGCAGCTGTCTCATCACACCCCAGGGGCAGGGCTGGCACAGCACAACGAGAATCGAACCCTGGCCACTGTACTCTGCCTAAGCAGGTGCTTTAGTCCTCTGAGCTATTTTTTTTTAATTTTAGAGAAAAGAAAATAAACATTAAAAGCAATGGTATAAAATTTCAAAAAAGGATTATAGGAGAGTAACAATGGCTAGCATATTAAGTATTGTTATCTTTAAAGTAGTTGCTTATGTCACAAGATATAGGCATAAAAATTTGATCTAGCAATATAGGCATTTCTTTTGTTTTCAATTAGCTAATTAGTTAATTAGTAGTTAACTATCTTAACTGCCTTGTGTGTATAGATATTTATCTATTTATCCTTTTCCCATCCTTCTTTTCTCCTTTCCCCCATTTCAGTTTCTCTTCCCTTTTGAGCATTTTCTTCCCATTTTAAAATATCTATTGCATATTTTGAGTCTTATTTACTCTTTTAGCTTCTTGTTAGGAAGACAATACTATGTTTACACATGCGAGACTGATTTATTTCACTTATAAGTATGGACTCAAGTCACATATATTTCCTCATAAATATCTCTTTATCCTTATTTATAGCTGAGTAGCACTCCGTTGTATAAAAATACAACCTCTTTTTTATCCATTTTTTAGTTGATGGGAATTTGGGTTGTTTCTAAGATTTTGCTATGCCAAATCGTGCTACTAGAAACATGGGGGCACATATATCACTGTGGTATGATGTTTTTAATTCTTCTAGGAAAATACCCAGAAGGCGAATAGCTAGGTCGAATTGGACCTCTAATTCTAGTTTTTTTTTAAGACTCTCCACACTGATTTCCACAGGAGTTATGCCAGTCTACATTGCCACCAAGTGTGGAGAAGGATTCCTTTCCCCCCACAACCCTGCCAGCATTTGTGGTTAATTTCTTTTCTTTTCTTTTCTTTTCTTTTCTTTTCTTTTCTTTTCTTTTCTTTTCTTTTCTTTTCTTTTTTC